TTCTCCAAGACACACTTCTGCTCTCCAGTCATACCCAGCTTCACATGGGAAAGTGGCAGGAGGGAGTAGGCTTAATGTTTGGGAGACCTTGAGTAGTGAGGCATTCTAATATTCTTTGGTCAAAGAACCACAGTGGAAAATCTGTTTCTCCACGGTTTTAAGATCCCATGGGGAAAATCATTTTCGGAAGTGTTTTTAACTTTTGGGTTTGGTTTAGGATTCGAAGTGTGTTAGACAACTTTGCAAGCAACAGAAACTAACTCTGGCGTAAGTAAAACACAAGAAAGGAGATATATCATTAGAAGCTCATAGAATCTAAGGGAAAGCCAGATTATCAAGACTTGAAGGGTAATATAAAGCCTTGCTCAAAGGTTTAAGGATTGAAACAAAAAAATTACACCAAAATTTACTTTTGCAACAGGCAAAAACTACTCAGAATATTTTTGTAGAAAAATTAGAAAGTAAAAAATCACTCATTACCTCCTAGAAATTAAAACAAAGAATGAAGAAGAAAAACCTGATAGTTACATTAATATTTATTTACTGGTAAAGTAGAACACTTATTAAAAATATCCATTTATAGGTTTTTTAGTCTAGTCAAGCTCTTTGTTTATTAGGGGGTTAGTTTTTCTGGTCAAATCTATCAACCTTTTTCTTGGTGGTTTTTCTATCTTTGCTGTTATGCTGAGAGTGGCTTTCACCATTTAAATGTTGTAGAATATTTTTTATGTGTTTTTGATTCAGTGGATCTGTTTTTTCTTTTTCCTATCTCCAAATATTCTCTTTAGTAATGGTGGCCCAGTAGGCCATGGTTCTTATAGGTTGTGAGAAGATATAATTAGCTGTGTCCCTCCCGGGTTATTCTGATGCATAGTGTCTTAGTTCAGATTGCTACAACAAAACACTATAGACTGACTTAAACGACAGAAATTTATTTCTCACAGTCCTGTAGGCAGAGTCGGTTTCTGGTGAGGACCCTCTTCCTAATTTGTAGACAGCCACCTTCTCGCTTTGTCCTCACATGGTGGAGAGAGAGAGAGTTCTAGTCTCTCTTCCTTTTCTTTTTCTTTCTTTCTTTCTTTCTTTCTTTTTTTTTTTTTGTGAGGAAGATTAGCCCTGAGAGCTAACATCCGATGCCAATCCTCCTCTTTTTGCGAAGGAAGATTGGCCCTGGGCTAACATCCGTGCCCATCTTCCTCTACTTTATATGGGATGCCACCACAGCATGGCTTGACAAACGACGTGTCGGTCTGCACCCGAGATCCGAACATGCGAACCCTGCGCCACCGAAGCGGAGCGTGTGCACTTAACTGCTACGCCATTGGGCTGGCCCCTCTCTTCCTTTGCTCATAAGGACATTAATGCCAGCTTGGGGGCCCCGCCCTCATGAGCTCATATAAACCTAATTACCACACAAAGGCTTCTCCTCCAGATACCATCACTTTAGAGGGTAGGGCTTCAACATAAATTTTGGAGGGACACAGACATTCAGTTCATAACACTTTCCTCATCCTATCTCTTCTCCACTTCTACCTGAAGAGGAGAATTCTGTTTATTTTTATTTTTAATTTGCTTTTATTACTAATATCACTTATTGTAAATTATTCTGATGCCAAAGAAGAGCACAAAGTAAAAACTAAAAGTTCTTATTTAATCCTTAATAATCCCACACCATAGGAGTAACAAATAATATCTGCCAGAATATACAAAAAGTTATTGTCAGTATATATGCAGGTGTATGTGACTAATTTTTTTTTTTTTTTGGTGAGGAAGATCAGCCCTGAGCTAACATCCATGCCAATCCTCCTCCTCCTTTTTTTTGTTTTGCTGAGGAAGACTGGCCCTGAGCTAACATCTATTGCCAATCCTCCTTTTTTTTCCCTTTTTCTCCCCAAAGCCCCAGTAGATAGTTGTATGTCATAGTTGCACATCCTTCTAGTTGCTGTATATGGGATGCCACCTCAGCATGGCTGGATAAGTGGTGCGTTGGTGTGCGCCCGGGATCAGAACCTGGGCCGCCAGTAGCGGAGTGTACACACCTAAGCACTAAGCCACAGGGCCAGCCCCCATGTGACTAATTTTTTACATTTATATCTTTAGTCAGTCCATCTGGATTTGTGTGTGTGCGTTTAGTATAAAGTGGAGATCCATCTATTTCCAAATATTTAGCTCTTTGTCTTTTCAACATGTCTTGACTAATTCATTATTTCCCTGCTCAGACAAAATATTAACTTTTTTACTAATTTTTTTCCCACTCATACAAAATATTAACTTTATTCTATACCATATGCCAGCATATGTGTTGATGTGTTTCTATACTTTCAATTGTTTTAAGATAATGATAGTAAGCTGTTTATTATTTTTACTTTAGTATTTCCACTCCCTCCTACTAGGCCATCGGTTTTGAAATATTTCTTAGCTATTGTTCCTAATCTAGTTTCAAAAATTTTTTCAGGGTTTTCACTGCAGTTGCATTGAATTTGTGTGTTAAATATGGGGAGATTTGATGTCTGTATAGTATTAAGTTTTCCTGGCCAGGAACATGACATATCTTCCATTTATTCAAGTCAACTGCTTAGGTTTATAGGTTCTTTACAACTTTATTCATGGATGTTTTAAATATTAATATTTTGCAAATATTAATTGTGTTTTTCTGCAATAAATCTGTAAAAGTTATCACCTATTTATAACATGCTAATTATATATTTTCTATACATTTTGCATGGTTTGTAGGCAACCCTGTTATTTGTTCTAATAGCCCTTCTTAGGTTTTTCAGGTATTAGGTTTTTCAAATAATAATTCTGTCTATTCCTTTCTAATACTTATCCTTCCCTGTTTCTCTTTCTTATCTCATTGCACTGGAATGTCCAGTCTCAGTTGAACAATGATAATGATAGTGCACCATCTTGTCTTGATCTTTCTTTAATAGCCATGCCCCCTTTTTCTGTTTTAGTATTGTGATCACCATTGATTTGAGAAGAATTACTTTATTATTAAGAATCCTTTTCTCAGTTGTTAGGTTTTTTTAAAAATCAGATAGTGAATGTTAAACTTTACTAAATGCCTTTTCAGTGTCAAATGAGAAAGTCTTGTGAGCTTACAGTGTGATGAATAGTCTAAAAATATTCTTAAATTCTTGGAATATCCTACTTGGTCACTGTGTCTTTTTCTTTAAATACAGAGCTGGGTATTATTTCATAATATTATATGAAATTTTTAATTAATATTCATAAACTGCTCTTTCATTTGTTTGTATATTTTCTGTTTTAGTATCAGGCTTATGCTAACTTGCTAAAATACATCAGAATACTTATATATTTTATATATCTTGCATTAATTATAAAAGCTTAGTAATTATCTATACTTGAAAGCATGATAGAGCATGGTGGTACATTTTTTGGGCTTGATACTTTTTGAGGGCAATGCTTAAAAAAACCTTTTTCTTCCATAGCTGTTAAATATAGTTAGTGTGAATTGTTAGTCCTTTTTTGTAACGTCCTCAGTCATCTCTTGGATGGTAAAATTTTCCCTCTTATTTGTTTATTTAATTTATGGGTTCCCCCCCCCCAAAAACGTTCATGGAATAATACTGTGTAGTTTTTGTTATTGTTTAAAACTGTTTGAACACGTTTAAACACATTTTTCTTGATTATCTTTTAAGTGATACCCTTCTGCATTTTGTATGTATTTAAAAATATTAATTAGACATAACTAAATTTTAAAGGTATTGTTTATACAATTTCCATTTTTGAGTGTTTATATTGGTTTACTTTTTTTTTTTTTTTTTTT